CTCCTTCCTCATCTCAACAAACACCAACCACCTCACCCATACAACTCAGAAAGTCAACCAGACAAAGGAAAACCCCTGCATACCTTGATATATACAATCACAACATTCCCAACAGAAACCAAACTGCTTCTAATCTTCTTCAAAGCATTTCTGGAACATCACTATATCCAATATCTGATCATTTATCTACTGAGAATCTTTCTTATGCTCACAAATGCTTTACTGCTGCCATTTCTCAAAATACTGAGCCTAAGAATTATTCTCAAGCTGCCAAAGATCCTTTATGGCAAGAAGCTATGAATAAGGAATTAAAAGCCCTTGAACAGACTAAAACTTGGGAACTCACTGACCTACCTACAGATAAACACTGTATAGGCTGTAAGTGGGTTTTTAAGATAAAGTATATATCAGATGGCACAATAGAAAGATATAAAGCTAGATTGGTTGCCAAAGGCTATACTCAAGAGGAGGGCATAGATTATTTTGATACTTTTTCCCCTGTTGCCAAGATAACAACTGTTAGGTTCCTCATTGCATTAGCTTCTATTAAAAATTGGCATATACATCAACTTGATGTAAATAATGCATTTTTACATGGGGATTTAAATGAAGAAGTGTATATGTCTCCTCCTCCTGGCTATTGTGACAAAAATGATAAAAGGGTCTGCAGATTACTTAAAAGTCTTTATGGTCTCAAACAGGCTAGTAGACAATGGTTTCAAAAACTCACTACATGCCTTCTTAATTTTGGTTTCACTCAATCTACTGCAGACTGCTCCTTGTTTACTATGTCTGTTAATTCCAACTTTATTGCTCTTCTTGTCTATGTAGATGATGTCATAATATGTGGTAACAATTTACCTTTAATCAATGACATCAAACAACATCTTGACAACTGTTTCACTATTAAGGATCTTGGTGTGTTAAAATATATATTGGGTATAGAATTTGCTCACTCTGACAAAGGCATCAATATGTGCCAAAGAAAATATGCCTTGGATATTCTCAATGACACAGGGTTCTTAGGCAGCAAACCAGCTCCAACTCCCATGGATTCCACAGGTAAGTTTTCTGCCTACAAGGATACCGATACTCTTGTGGATGCCTCTGAATACAGAAGACACATTGGTAGACTCCTTTACTTAACAATTACTAGGCCTGACATTGCTTTTAGTGTACAGTGCCTTAGTCAGTTTTTAAGTACACCTACTTCTGTCCATTTATCTGCTGCTCATAGAATATTAAGGTATATCAAAGGTACTGCTGGTCAAGGTATTCTCTTCCCAAGATCTTCTTCTCTAAATTTAATTGCTTATACTGATAGTGATTGGGCCAGTTGTTTAGATACTAGAAGAAGTATCACAGGTTATACTGTTTTTCTTGGCAATTCCCTTATTTCTTGGAAATCAAAAAAGCAAGTTACAATTAGCAGGAGTTCAGCTAAAGCTGAGTATAGGGCTCTAGCCTCAACTTCTGCTGAAATTCAGTGGCTATTGTACTTGTTTGATGACTTTAAGCTTACTCACACTCAGCCTGCCATTGTGTTTACAGATAGTAAATCAACAATGGCTATGGCTGCCAACCCAGTCTTCCATGAAAGGACAAAGCACATAGAGCTGGACTGTCATTTCATTAGAGAGAAAATTGCAAACAAAGTGCTTCAGTTACAGTATATTTCTACCAAAGAGCAATTGGCAGACATCTTGACAAAGGCTTTACCCGGCCCTGCATTCACTCACTTAGCTTCCAAGCTGAATGTGCACAATGTACACTCTCAGCTTGCGGGGGTGACAATATATACACATATATATATTTTTCCTATTTTACCCTTAGTAGTGTTTTGTAATAGGATAAGTTGTTATTCATGTTGACAATTTTAGTTCATTGTATTAGGACTATATATATGGGTTGAACACATCTCTTGTAACCCTAAGTTCATTATTTCTAATTCACATCCGCAGCTTTGTTTCCCTCTTCAATGTCTCTCTAGATTTCATCTATGTTTTTCTCCAGATTCACTTGAATCTTGTTAATGTTTGCAAATTGAGGCATGGTACAAATATAAAGAGACAAAAATAAAGAAGAATAAGACATCATGAATCATGATAAGCCCTAATTTGTTGGGAAATAAAAAATAATAATAATAATAAAAATGAATTCGAGCCTTACTGTTGCCATCCAGCTGCATAACAAGCCACAAGCCACCTTTTCCACTGTGATATACCATACTATCATAAAAAATAAAAAATAAAAATAAATAAATAAATGAATAAATAAATAATAAAAATAAAACAAAATAAAAATTAAAACCATTTTACTTAAATTCTCACCTTTAAAACAAAATATTTATTTTATCAAAAATTATCATATTTTTATTTACTTTATTTTATATAGAGTGACATATATTTCATTTTCAAAATCTGTATATCTATAGTAAAGTAACGGTTTTTCTATAGAGCCACCCGATTGTTTTTCTTGTGGAGCAATCCGCCTACGTGGCTCTCAGGTGGCACCACGTGTATTAAAATATGTGTTATTTCTTATTTTTTTATTTTAAGTAGAAAAACAAAATAAAAAAAAATAAAAAGAAAAGAAAAGAAAAGGGGCAAACAGAACCACTGCTTCTTCTTTCTCGCATCTCCCCTGGACTCCACCAAGAAAAAAAAAAAAAAAAAAAAAGGAAATTTTCAAGGAAAAACGTCGTTGTTCATCTTCTTCTCGACGCCTATTGCAGCAGATTCTCCCCCTTCTCAGTTGAAATTTGGGATTATAAAAATACAACTTAGGTCCAAGTTATGTAGCATGTACTGCGCCCGCCGAGTATGGGGCTCATGGGTCGAGTATTGGGCACCCCTGTACTGCCTGCTTCAATCTTCCTTCAACGTCGTCGTCCATAAAAATATTCCAATATCCTAAAAATAAAACATAGAAATATAAAAAAAAACTACAATTCATCCAATGAAATAAATAAGTCAAAAAATATATATGTGCGATAAAATTAAGTGTATAAAAATACACTATTAAATATATAATGTTCACATTTTTCGACTAATCATTTTTCTAGAGTATACAACTTTTTAATATTAAAATTTATATATTTATTAAAAAAATATGACCGTTTTGCTCGAAGCAACAACCTTAACCCATCTCCAGCCCTTATCTCTACTCTAGCGCGGTACTCTAGTTCAAGTAGACTGAAATATTTGTCTTCAGTCCTTATATCTACATTTTACTCTACATCAAATATATTATTTTTTATTCATTTTTATTTCAAATACATTGGTATATATATATATATATATATATATATATATAGATTTAATCTTATATAAATATTTATTACCCAAATGAAATTACGTTTGTGTATTTTATGATTTACGTTTGTATATTTAATATTATGTTGTTCTTATTTGTGTATTTTATTATTTACGATTGTTGTACACTTTTAATTTTAATGAAATCTACTTGTTGGAATGTATTAAATTTTTATTTATATGCTACAATTTTAATATTAAAAAACTACAAAATAAAATATAATACATCAATAAATAAAAAGCACAAAATTATTTGGTATAAAAAATATATTGCACAAAATGATTTAACATAAAAATATATTTATTAATACACATCATACAAAAATTTATCATTAACATTACATAAATAAGAAAAAAAAATAAATTATTCTGGCGTTGTGATATAGTGTTGCGCTAGATCTGGCGCATCAATGTCTATTTATCTGTTCTAGTGTTAAATTATAGCGCAGCCTCGGAGGGGATTTCTCACGCTACTCAGCGTCTTGCTTTATAGTGGAGTGGCATTGGAGTTGGTCTTAGTGTTCATTTTTTTATACAATCACTATTATCAAAAACCAAAATACTATAAGAAACACTTTAAATATTAAAAACACAATTTATATTTTTTTATAATCCACACTTTTAATAATAAACAGCTTACATTCAATATAATGTCAGGGAATATATCCCAGTTAGGGATGGCAATGGGGACCCGATCCCCGATTACCCGTGGGAAATTTCTCTATTAGGGGATGGGGATGGGATGAAATCTTCCCCCATGGGGGTGCTAATGGGGAGAAAATCATCCCCGACGGGTAAACGGGTATGGGGATGGGAAACCAATCCCCGTCCCCGTTTACCCGCGGGGACCCGTTAAGCTAGTATACATGCTAGTTATTCCAATATATTTATACATACACATGAATGATGATGTAATTACATGAAAATATATTAAATATGTAAACATAATATCATATTATGTATGTAATGTGATAAATTGAAATCATATAATGTGATGTTATGCCACCTACATAGTATAAATAAAATACATATCAATAACAATTAACGGGTATAGGGATCCCCGATGGGGATTTATCTACGCGGGTAATAGGGATGGGGAGAAAATCCTCCCCGAAAGTATAAATGGGGATCCCATGGGGAGAAAAGTCTCTCGAATGGGTATGAGGAGTCAATACCCGATGAGAATTCCCCATTGCCATCACTAATCCCAGTAGGCACAGACCTTCCTGCCTAAAACTCGCGCCAATCCTCTCTCTCTCTCTCTCTCTCTCTCTCTCACACACACACAATAAGCACATGTATCAGTGCGTGTTGTTGATCTTACAACCAAATACTACTACTATGTTTGCTTCGCACTCACTCTTTGTCCCTCTCCCAACATTTGAGAAATTAGCCTCTGCAAACCAAAATTGACTACCCATATTCCTCACCAAAACCAAGAACAGACCTTTTCTGCTTGTCGTCTTCTGTTACCTTAGAATAATGGTCTTTTTTTTTATCACTCTGTTTTTTTAAGGCCATTTTTGTGGCATCCTTAACCTTAACCTTATTTTGCACTCTATACTTTCAGTTCTGTTGCCCAAAAAAAAAAAAAAAAGTAAAGGGTGTCTCAATTTGAAGTGGGCTGAGTTTTTTTTTTTTTTATTTTTTATTTTGGGGCTTTGGATTTGTTGTTTGATTTGGGCGATGGATGTCAGTGTTCTTGATCTTGAGGTGGATGTCAATGGAGAAGAGATTTTTGTGGTGGATAAGGTAAAAAAGATTTATGGATTTGCTCTTAATTTTCTGTTTAGATTTTCTTTTTGTCTTTGTTTTGAGACAACCTTATCTGTTTTTCGATTTCTTGTCCAAAATTTGTAGCTTTCTTTTCATTAATTTGGTACTTTTTTTTTTTTTTAAACAGTTTTGGCCCTTTCTGACTGTCTTTTAGTGTAAGGTGTTAAGTTGATCTTGGCCTTCTTATTTTTTATCATATTTAAAGCTTCATCACTGAATTTACTTGTTCTTGAATGGTCTTCATGGTGGCTTGTGCCTAATTTTGTGGCAGATTATAATTTTTCTCTGCATTTTTCTGTTAATTCATGACATGGGCTCTTATGAAAAATCATTATTCATAAGATAAACAAAAGAAAAAAGAAAAAAGAACAAATCTTTGTGCACCCCAGACTATGATTTCACAATTATTACCATTAATTCCTACTGTCCGTATCAAACCATCTTTAAATTATTGCAGCTAAAACATTGCTGGATTGTGGGTTTGTGGGGTTTTGGTTTATTGAATAATTATAAACCACCTATTTTTAATCACCTTACCTGCAGGATACTTCACCTATTTCTTTCTTTCTCTTTTTTTTTTTTTTTTTCCCTCTTTTATCTCATTTATTGTCCCTTGTTATGGATATTGATTGTTCATGCCTTCCTCTTCTGATTCTTTTCACACTTTTTCATTAAAAAAATCATTTCAAAATTGGTGGTATTCTCGTTTTCCTTCTTTGTAAGGGATGTGAATAGCTTCGACATAGGTTTTATTTTGGAGTATATTATTTAATGTTGTGTACAGCTAAATCTCATGTTTTCTTTAATCAGCCTATTGAACCTAAAATCCTAACTATACTCTTTAATGTGCGTATGGCTCGGTTGTCTGTTGCGGTTTTGGAGGGTTGTTTATTGTTGAAATCTGATTATCTTGGGTTTTCTCTGTGTCTTTTGTTGTGGTTTGTGTTGTTTTTTTCTGTTGGTGGTGTGTTTTTTCCCCAGTTG